AGAGGTTTCTTGCACCCCATAATCCACCCCCATATGGGAGAGGTACCTACAACCACCCACAAATAAGTGAGGCACCACCACAGAAGGCACCAACCCACAAATAAATTCATAATCCTCGATATAAATATGGAGGGTTTCTTACCCCATATCCACCTGACACAAATATGGGAGAGGTTTCCTGTACCCCATAATCCACCCCACATAAATATGGAGAGGTTTCGTACCCCATAATCCACCCCACATAAATATGGAGAGGTTTCTGTACCCCTATAACCCAACCCATAAATATATGGGAGAGGTTTCACCCCTAATCCACCCCATAGGAGGCTCCCCATAATCCACCCCCCTACAATAGGAGAGGTTTCTGTACCCATAATCCACCCCACATAAATATGAGAGGCTTTGCACCCCATAATCCAACCCTACAAATATGGGGAGGTTTCATAACCACCCACAAACATGAGAGGTTTGTACCCATAATCCACCCCACATAAATATGGGAGAGGTTTTGTACCCATAATCCACCCCACATAAATATGGGAGAGGTTTCTGTACCCCATAATCCACCCCCATAAATATGGGAGAGGTTTCCCTCTAATTCCCACAAAATATGAGATCAATACCCTATAACCAATCTAACATAAATATGGAGAGGTTTCTGTACCCCATAACCACCCCACATAAATATGGGAGAGGTTTCTGTACCCCATAATCCACCCCACATAAATATGGAGAGGTTCTGTCCCATAATCCACCCACAAAAATGGGAGAGGTTTCTGCACCATAACCACACCCCATATTAAGAGCTCTAACCACCCACATAAATATGGGAGAGGTTCATCACATCCAATTTCAACAATGGGAGAGGTTTCTGTACCTATAATCCACCCATAAATATGGGAGAAAATTCACCTAAACCGGACATAAATATGGGAGAGTTTGCACTTTAATCCACCCCCCATAAATATGGGAGAGGTTTCCTGCATCTATAACCACCCCACAAATATGAGAGAGTTTCTGTACCCCTTAATCCAACCCCATAAATATGGCCTTCAACAATTTTTTTTTGTTAAAACGTTTTTTTTCAGACTAATTTTTTATTTTGGTTCTATATAGTATATTTTTGATGCTGACAGAAAACAGTTTTATAAATATGGGAGAGGTTTCTGTACCCCATAATCTCACCCCACATAAATATGGAAGATGTTTCTATACCCCATAATTCACCTAACATAAATATGGGAGAGGTTTCTGTACCCCATAATTCACCTCTATAAATAACATGGGAGAGGTTTCAAAATTTTAACCCCTTCCCCAACAATTTTTTTGTTAAAAACGTTTCTTTTTCAGACTAATTTTTTTATTTTGGTTCTATATAGTATTTTTGATGCTGGTTATGAAAACAGTTTTTAATTATTTTTTCTTCCCATTTTTGTGGTTAACTTTTTATTTTGAAAATACCTTTGTCGGCAAAAACGAGTCAACTCGTCTTCCTATAAACCATATTTTTTTACCATATTTTCTTAATTTTTCTCAAAATTTTATTACCAAATGTAAAGAGAAATGAAAACCTATTTTATTTTTAATTTTCAGTGGAATGTACTGTACCCATCCTAACCTTCCTTTGAACAACATAAGGCTCTCATCTATACATACATCTTGCCTAGGGGTGTAACACTTCCCAAAGTTCTCACACAATGTCATGAATACATCATAAATCTTATACAATTTTGGGTTGGGGTGAGTTTGTGCATCATGAGTTTCATTATCTACAAAATGAAGATATTGCTTTATCTTACTGTACCATTTCATAGTCATTAGCTGCCGAAAAATTGGTCTTTCAAGCAGTTCATCATGTGACCAGTTCATTTCTTCTTCTGGCATTTTCACAATACCCCCAAGCATTTTCATGGCAAAAAATACAAAAAGTTCAGCCTCTGTTACAGGGCGCCACAAAGAATCATCTTGCCCAGTTTGTTCAGCAAAACGATTAGTCTCTACCAGTACAGAGTCAATAATCCTTTTATCAATAAAAAGACTGAAGAATTCAAATGGACTCAGTTCTGCTGGGTTTTCATCAATCTTTATTCCAGGATTTCCTGTGAAAGGAAAACGTGGTGGTGGTGTATTCATACGCTCCTCTGACAACTCGAGGCTTCTCCAAGCTCTCCCCTCACCCTCCTCCTCCTCCTCCTCACTTGTCGAGAAATAGTCATTGTCTGATGAACTGGCAGAGTTATCAGAAGTATTCAAGCTTCTGAGGGAAGGTTCATATTCACTATCTTCCGTTGAACTAGACATTTGGGGTGTAACACTTGAAAATGCTACAAAAAAATGAATGCAAATGTGAATGCAAACAACACCCATCCGACGACAATGGCTGTCGGAGCAAGTCTAGTAACAATGTCCTTGAAATCCCACAGCTCTACCCTATCGCCTCTGCCAGGCGTACGATTTGACGAGAATACTCGTTTCACACGTAGAATGGCTTACAAAGGCTTAAAATCGACGAGTATATACGTATGTAGCTGGTTTTTGAAGGTAAAGTTTTAGACGAGTATACTCGTCGACGACTGAAAAAAGAACATTTTGTGAAAACGTGTATACACGTTTCTGCCGGGGAAGAGGTTAATCCAACCCCCATAAATATGGGAGACGTTTGGGTACCCCATAATCCACCCCCATAATAATAATAATAAATCATCAATATTCAGGTCAAATCTGGCCTTGATGGCAGTTGGCAAGTTGGGAAGAGATTACCTTCTAATACAGTTTGACTTTTTATTTTGAAGTCATATTACAAATTAGTGTTTATACAGGCAGTGATATCTCCATTAGCCAGAACAATTGGTGCAGAGAACTTCCAGGAATGAGAGACTTCCGGGTAGGGGACAAATCTCTCAAAGCCGGAAAAAAATCCCTCATCCCCGGAATTTTCCAGAATTTTCCAGGTAACGGAATTTTTTTTTTTTAATTCCAGAAATTGTGCACTTCTCAAATCCAGAAAAAATCCCTCATCCCCGGAATTTTCCGGGTTCTGAAAATTTTTTCTCAGAATTTCAGGAAAAATGTGCCCGATTTTCATCTCTCACACCTGGAGAAAAACTCCCCCATCCCCGGAATTCTCCAGGTACTGGGAAAATTTTCTTGAATTTCCAGAAAATGTGCCCCTCGAAAAATCATTCTCAAAGCCAGAATTTCCAGAAGTTTCCAGCTTTGGGAACGATTTTCCGAGAAAATTTAAATTCCGCTTATCCGAGAGTTCCGGTTAAGAGGGATTCCGGTGTCATATTTTTTCCTATTACAGCTCCTCTCCGACTTACGACCACCCAGACATACGACCACCTCAGTCGTACCAAAAAATTTTCAAATTATGTATTTTAGAGTCCCAACGTCAGTGATTGCGCTGTGTACTGACAAAATTTTTTTTTGTAATTCACTTTAAAATGGCTGGCAAGCTTAAAAGTGAGAGTTTTGTGGTGCTGAGAAGAAAAAGAGACACCCATTTTAGATTTTCTATGTATTATTTAAGCATTTTCGACTTACGGCCATTTCGACTTAAGACCAGGATTTAGGTCCCTAACCCCGTCGCAAGTCGGGGAGGAGCTGTATTTAATATATTATATTATTTATGAAAAATACATACCCTACACTGTAAGAGGCTGATCATATGATATAATAATGAATACCATGTACTGCAAATAAGAGAAGAGATATGAACAGTGATATCTCTGTTAGCCGGAACAATTGGTGCAGAGCTTCGGGAATGAGAGATTTCCGGGCAACGAGGGGAAAAAAAATACCTCATCCACGGAATTTTCCGGGTAATGGAAAAATATTCTCGGAAGTTCCAGAAATTGCCCATTATACATCTTCTCTCAAACCGGAAAAAACTTCCCATTCCCGGAATTTTCCGGGTATCAGGAAAATTTTCTCAGAATTTTCCAGTAAATGTACCCCTCGAAAAATCGTTCCCAAAGCAGGAACTTTCCGGAAAATTCCGGCTTAAGGAACAATTTTCTGAGAAAATTTAAATTCCGCCTATCAGAGAGTTCCGGGTTTGAGGGATTCCGGCTAAAGGAGATATTACTGAAGATTCTTGATAAATCTCGAAATACAAATTGCATACTCATGGCAAGAAGTCCCACCACATTAATGCGCCCCAAACTCAAAAGCACTCTGCCACTCCATTTCCAATCATCGGATCAACGGGGTAGTCAGCAAAACTTGCAGGGTACCGTATATGGCAGCATATAAGTTGACCTGGCGTATAAGTCGACCCCCCTTTTCAAGCAAAAAAAATCTGGTCATAGAGGTATACCTACCGTATAAGTCGACTCCCCAACTCCAGCAGCTGCCAAGTGTTATGAAGGACCAAGTCAACCATCAACACATACATAAACAGGTAAACAGTTAAACAAGCCGCTCTATACAAGACGTCACTCACAACGTCATTAGTGACTGACCCAACAATCACAACAACACTGAACTCAGTTGACTTCCTGCTCATTCCACCACAGTCCACACACAGCTATTATATTAAAGGTAAATATGAAGGTTGTAATACTAAATACTCTCACTTACGGTCATGATTTTAGAGGTCATCATTTTATACCCATCGTGTAAGTCGACCCCCTAACTTTGGTTTCAAAGGTCGACTTATACGCCGCCATATACGGTATTTCCTTAATACATAATCGTTGGTTATGTAAAGCGGTGGTTAATGGGATGTCGGTTTACGGAGTACACCTGTATCTGGTTTATCCGTATTAGCATTTACCAACTAAATATTACACGTACGCAGAACTTCCATCTTCATATATCAATCATCACCATTCTCTCCAGTAATGCCGGTTTGCCCACACCCCTGTCTGCCCTTCACCACTATCTTACCATCTCCTACCTGGTATTCCTCTCTCCCTTCTTCTGTACACCTCTGAACAATACCCACCTTTTACCTATCTTTCACTCCCCATTCCCTCAATACTGTATAGGTGAACCCATATAAAACAATTTTAGATAAAATAAGTTACCTCTAAAGCTGCCACTTCTTGTTTCAGAGTTGACAAGCCCTCTCCTTGTGGACTGCTCGCTGTGACACTCCTCAGTAATCCCCAAATTCTGGAGTGCGAACCACTTTCTTCCCTAACCTACAAAATAATGATACTGTAGTAGATTTTGATGAAAAAATTGGCATATAATATTATCATCTGTACAATGGTTTGCCTTACCTCCAAAACACTAGAAAATGTTTTATGAAATATAATTTCTGTTGAACTAAAGTTGAAACTGGAGGGTATACAGTATTACAGATAACAAGTTGACTGTAAGGGACAATGTTCCCCCTTTCCATGAAAAGTGGAGGAAAATATTTATTTCATCAAAATTAATATCCAATTGTTTATTATTGTAATGACAACAATACCCAGATGGACACACACACACACACACAGATGGATGGACAAAAGGTACTTCTGGACAGTAAAACTTCCCTAAGTCGGACTTCTCTAAGAGGGATTTTCCGCTAAGTCGGACTCCGTCAGAATTTTCGGCGCATAAACCGAGTCATAACTGGCCACGTTTTTTTTTTTTTTACTGGGAATAGCCTACCCGGGCACAGGTCATCGACCCATATCAGGGCCTGGGGGCGAAAAAATAAGAGTAAAAACAAATTAAAAATAGAAAAGGAAAAGGTTATATTAATCTATACCATGAAGATGCCGGAAAACCAGCTTTTTAAAGCGAGACAGATTGTGAGTGTGTGGAAATACAGAAGAATGCAGAATATTCCACAGTTTGGCTGTGTGAGGAAAGAAGGATGTACTATGACGGGTTATTCTAGTGTAACCGACATCCACAGAGAAATGGTGGGCACTGCGGGCAAGACGTGTGTTACAAGCCCACGGCCTTGCCGGCAGTACACAGGATGCCAAATCCACTGAACATTGCCCGTTAAAGTACCTGTAAAAGAGAGAGTGAAGCAACATTGCGGCGAAGAGAAAGGGAAGAAAGATTGTCAACTAAAGGAGGAGAGTTAATAAGACGAAATGCCTTTGATTCCACCCTATCTAACAGTTGGACAGAAGAGCCACCCCAGATATGAGAGCAGTACTCCAAGTTAGGACGAATGAATCCCTTATATACTTGAAGCAACTGCTCAGGAGTGAAGTAGCTACGGCATCTATACAGCATTCCCAGTTTCAGGAAGCAGCTTTAGCAATGTTGAGGATGTGTGGCTTCCATGACATAGATGAAATGGTGAGGCCTAGCATAAATATTTTAGAATTTGGCAGAATGATAGCGTCCTGAAATGTGATTGGTAAATACTGAGTTTTATTACTATTGAATTTAACCAAGTTTCTACCTCCCCATTCGAGATGCTGCACAGATCCGCTTTGATAGCTGTAATGATATCAGCCCTAGAAACAGATCTAGTTTGAGAATTAGGGGGAAGGGAAATATGCGAAGAAGAGAGAAGAGTAGAATCATCAGCGTAAGAATGGATAGAATTAGTTGTATTGTGAAGTAAATCATTGATAAAAAGAAGGAAGAGAGTAAGTGAAAGAACAGAACCCTGAGGGACACTCCTATTGGTAGAGAAAGAGCAAGATTGGTTCTCAAGGAAGCTAGAGATTAGAGAACAAAGTGGGGGAGAGAAACCATAAGAGGGAAGCTTCAAAAGCAAAGATTTGTGCCATACCCTGTCAAATGCTTTGGAGATGTCGAGGGCCATGACTAAAGTTTCCCCATAGTCCCTAAGAGAGGATGACCAAAAATGAGTGCAGTAGGAGAGCAGATCACCAGTAGATCTCGCCTGGAGAAAGCAATACTGGTGATGCGACAAAAGAGAATGGCGTTCAAGGCGACAGAGAAAATGAGAACCCAAGATAGTTTCGAAAATCTTTGGAGGGATGAAGTTAGGGTAATGAAGCGACAGTTAGAGGGATTAGAATGGTCACCCTTCTTCAGGATGGGCTGAACCAAGGCATGCTTCCAAGAAGAAGGAAAAGTTTGAGTTTTGAGGCAAAGGCGAAGGGGGCGAGTAAGCACAGGGCCAGAACTTCAGCACACTCCCTCAGAACAAAGGGGGTATTCCGTCCAGTCCATGCGCTTGCTTTACTCACATCCAACCTGGATAACACATCAGCAACCCTATGAGTGGAGATTATAGGAAAGTGGATAGGTTCAGCTGGAGGAGCAGGGGTAGGAGGGATAGAGTTGGAATCGTCTTAGGTGGATTTAGAGGAGAATAAGGTGCCAAAGAGATTGGCTTTATCAAGGGGAGAGTTGGCTATTGAGTTGTCAGGTCGGAAGAGAGGAGGAAAAGAAGGAGTGCAGAAGTTATTACAGATGTTTTTGGTTAAGGACCAGAAGGATTTACTAGAGGAAGGAGTAGTCAAGACATCGGTCTTTCTTTTTATAAAATTCCGCTTGGCCCTGCGAAAAATAGCCTTACAACGATTCCTAGAAGTCATGAAAGAGGAGTGGGTAATAGAAGGAGATAGTTTCATAGCTTGATATGCCCTATCTCTCTACCTACATGCAAGAGAACAGGAGCAATCAAACAATGATTGTAAAGAGAAAGTTTTGGTAGAAGATGGGTTAAATGCACTCATACCACCCCGTATAACCCCACATACCGAGGCATCCCGAGTGGAAAAGCAACATTCATCCCAAGGAAAGTCGGTGAAGAATTCTCGCAAGGATTGCCAGTTTACCCTACAATAGTGCCATAGTTGATGTTTATAGGGGGGTGGGGGAGGTGGTTGTGCCCAGTTTGATTTAATAGAAATAAGATTGTGATCACAAGACCCTAAGGGGGCAGAAATTGAGTATGAATAATGTGAGGGGTTAGAGGCAAAACAAAGATCAAGAATGTTAGCAAGTTGATCGTGTCGATAAAGAACACATGTAGGGTGTTTGATGATTTGTTCTAAATCATTAAGTAAGGAAAAAGAGAGCGCTTCAGCTCCACCTGGGTCATCCCTTGCAGAACCAAGCCACTCTCTGTGATGTACATTTAAGTCCCCTTGATAGAGGATCTCTGTGTTGGGGTGTGTGGATAGCAACGACTCTTGGCAAGAAGTGAGATAGTCAAAGAGTTCCAAATAGTTGGTAGAGTTGGGAGAGTAGTATAGGAAACAAAGAAAAAGTCATAGTTGGTAGAGATATTTTGAGCCAGATGATATCATAAAGAGAAGATTCAAGATCCGTGAGTTGAGCTATAGGTGTACGTGTGTTGCAGTAGGCAAGAAGTATAAAGGTTGTAGTTGGAGACTTGAAAAGGTTTGGGTGAAGCTGCTTTGGTCAGTTGAAGTTCGAAAAGCAGTAAGAGGTCGGGGGAAGAGATTACTAAGTGGTGCTCCACAGAAGGAAAATCGGATCTCAGGCCGAGAATGTTGGAAAAATGAAGCGTGTATAAAGCCGATCCTCCAGCAATCGCGGTGGCGTCAGTTGAGGCCCCAGTAGTTTGATGATGATCAGGTAGGCCCTGGGGTCCACAACCTTCCCGACCAGTGAGACCCATCCGAGAAGGCCCCGCTTCAATATTAATATCAACTGATGTAGGAGAATAAAATAGAATGAATAGAACAGATCAAGAGTGAGTACGTGTATAGTGTATTTGTTGTGTTGTCAATAATAAGAGAGACCCTGCAACTGTGTATAAATGTGGCAGAAAGACAGATCAGCAACCTGGGACTTGGTCAAAATTTTCGTAATGCCTTATGGTAGCAGGGTCTACCATTAGACAACACATTAGGCTTGCAATATCTTCCCAGGCGGTAGTACCTCCGACTTTGATCTTTTTGTGACACCTGAACTGCCGGATAATGTGATGGCATCCAGCAGTGATTTAAATGATTAAATAGTGTCTTCCGTATAGTAAAGTACATAGTTTTAAGTGATTAAATTTAATTTTAGTGTAACTAAGTTTAACCCCCTGTAGTGTAATTAAACTTGGTGTAATATAGTACTGTGCATATTTCTACTTTAATGTTAAGTGCGTTAGACTATCCAGAATGCAGTGCTTCTCTCCCCCCACCAAGGGTGCAAAAATACTGTGGGAAAAGGTAAGTGTCCTGTAATGTTCAGTTGTTATAATTTCTTTTAACAGTTGTTATTATTTTTTTTTAATATACATATACATTTCATTCTTTCGGGTTTTAGTAAGTTTTTAGACAATATTTTTTACATTAGGGGGCACCAATATAAGTCATGGCCTTTAAGTTGGACTTTTGGTTAAATCAGACTGGCTTAACCCATTTATAGTGTGACTTAGAGAAGTTTACTGTATTCCTATTTGCCCTACAGAAGGTGATGGACGATAAGATAGAGTGACAAGTTAGGGATTACAGCTCAGATAAGTAATAAGGAAAAGGTAAAGAGTATTTTTCCTGTCTCTTAGCATCTACAATACTGTACATAAAATTGCAAGAGATGATAAATTATGGCAAAGGCCTTCTCTTCCCACTCATTCAGGGTCAGTGTGATAGGATGCTTGAGCCATTGGTTATTATCAAGGTAATAAGAATATCTCAATGTAGACACAAGAAAAAAAAGATGTTACTGGAGTAAAAGCAAATGAAGATTGGAATAATGGGTGAAAAAATGCTTTTGATGATAAAGAGGAGCATGCAAGAATAAAGCTATGGCCAGTTACTGAAGTGTTTGCATAAGTTTGCATGCCAATTACACAAAGAAAACTATTCATTCTACTCTACCTTAGAAGTAACTCTCTCCCTCTCTGCTAAGGCTATTCTCTTTTTCTTGTTCACAATGACATCAAGTGTTTGAAGAAGTCGTCGTTCCTGTGCTTGAATATCATATTTTGTGACTGGACGCATGAAAATGTTCATGGAGGTATATGGATAATTAACAGCACCAAATCCTGATAATGCTGCCATTACAGTCACACCAATAACTCCAATGCGGCTGATGCTCTGTGAGGAAAAAAAATTATATCAAAATTTATCACTGCATTGAAAAATGAGTACCAATCCAAAAATTAAAAAGTTTGTAAAATCTCTCTCTTGTGGAGTGGACAGTGCATGAACGTGACTCATGGGGTGTTTTGGAATTGACTTTAGCTAGTGTTTCCTGTTAACTTCCAACAATTATTTTGAGAATTCTCAATTCTACCAACCCCCCAGAGCTGACTCAAACAAATCTTTAATTAAATCAGGTCACAGCACTAAAGGAAATTTGAAAATAAAGGAAGCTTAAACTCATGGACCCATCTGGACACTGAAAAAAGGTAATAAATTCATTTCCTTTTTGCAGACAGCAGGTTAGCGTGCAGTCTGAGGTAAGGAGAGCAGGGTCTCCTCATCTCAGTTCTCTCTTTGCATATCAAGCTTAATCTATGACCACTGGTAGATCTATGAGGAGAGGCATGGTTCCCCTAAGAGCTGTGTTGGTACCTCCAGTAGAAAATGACACCCCCTTATTGTATTAATTACAATACACTGATTGTAAGAAGCAGACCACATTCATGCTGCCTATCACCCCCCCTCCCCATACACTACCACACTCATGCTGCCCATCACCACCTCTCCACACTACCACACTCATGCTGCCCATCACCACCTCCAAAGAGGTGTGTTGCTAGCTGCAGGGTGCAACGTTGCTGAACTTCTAGGACTCCCATCTCCCAGAATTATGGGACACTACGCACGGCGCATGTGGGAGAGTATTCCAGCCCCGGTGGTCTGGGCTGGGGACGATGCTGCCGGTCTGCTCTCAAAACCGGCAGCAAGATAGAAGCCATTTAGTCTTGACCCTTCCCAATGACCTACCCAGTTTGGGAACCCTTCCCCTCCCTCTGAGGAGGAAAGGGAGGGGGCCAAGTCCCCCTTTGGTATGGCTCACTGGATCATCGGGATTCGAAAGCTCCTCCGCCACAGCAAGGCGGCTTCCACTGGGGGGGGGCGCAAGGTTGAAGTAGTCACAAGTCCAGAAAACTGTGAAGGCAAACATTTATAGTGTGAGAAATGTAAACTCTTAGAACAATCTGCCAGAGAGTGTTATAATAGCACTGAGTATGGGCTCTTCCAAGACCAGACTTGACCAACACATATGCAGATACAGATACATTATGGAGGCAGTACAGTAAACCCTCGAAAGTCTGGACATTTTGAGGGAAAAAAGATCCAGACTTGAATTTATTTTTTTTTTTGGAGTCCCACTATGCAGTCTTATGCCCCCAAAACAAAAAATCTCTCTCTCTCTCTCTCTCTCTCTCTCTCTCTCTCTCTCTCTCTCTCTCTCTCTCTCTCTCTCTCTCTCTCTCTCTCTCTCTCTCTCTCTCTCTCTCTCTCTCTCTCTCTCTCTCTCTCTCTCTCTCTCTCTCTCTCTCTCTCTCTCTCTCTCTCTCTCTCTCTCTCTCTCTCTCTCTCTCTCTCTCTCTCTCTCTCTCTCTCTCTCTCTCTCTCTCTCTCTCTCTCTCTCTCTCTCTCTCTCTCTCTCTCTCTCTCTCTCTCTCTCTCTCTCTCTCTCTCTCTCTCTCTCTCTCTCTCTCTCTCTCTCTCTCTCTCTCTCTCTCTCTCTCTCTCTCTCTCTCTCTCTCTCTCTCTCTCTCTCTCTCTCTCTCTCTCTCTCTCTCTCTCTCTCTCTCTCTCTCTCTCTCTCTCTCTCTCTCTCTCTCTCTCTCTCTCTCTCTCTCTCTCTCTCTCTCTCTCTCTCTCTCTCTCTCTCTCTCTCTCTCTCTCTCTCTCTCTCTCTCTCTCTCTCTCTCTCTCTCTCTCTCTCTCTCTCTCTCTCTCTCTCTCTCTCTCTCTCTCTCTCTCTCTCTCTCTCTCTCTCTCTCTCTCTCTCTCTCTCTCTCTCTCTCTCTCTCTCTCTCTCTCTCTCTCTCTCTCTCTCTCTCTCTCTCTCTCTCTCCACACTGATGCTGATGCACAAGTGTGTGACTGCATGGTGGTGAACCTTTAGTGAACCACCAATAACCAATATCATATAGTCATCATACACTCAAGATAAGAAGAGAGATACAATCAAATTTACAGTCAGTTTACTGAATGTGGGCCCAGCTGTTGAGGAGTACTTGACAACACTGCTTTCCACTCCATCTCTCTAATCAGCTGCACCATTTTCTATTCTCACTCCATATTTTAAAATGTTATGCACCGTACTGCAATGTTGAAGGGATACAACATTGCTTACTTATATTAAAGTTACATTCAATTTTGTGGGTAGATATCAGCTGTCCACTAGCATCTAACAGAAACTGATACATGCATCATCTCCTCAACCACCACTACCACCTCTATTATCACCACATAAATCATAATTTCAGTGATGCAGAGTTGAATTAGTTTCAGCCAGAGCTGACAAATATAAGTAAATAAAAATGTTTGAATTACATTTTTCTATTCACCTACTTATCCAGTATTGTACAGGTACACAGCCGATTTTCCGGCACCCTTGGTACCAAAGCCTTGCCGGATTATCCATTTTGCCAGACCAACCGAGGTCAGGTAATAATAATTCAACAATACACCTCTGACCCACTAATTATACACCTGTGTCTCTAAAGCACCATGGACTGCTAAAACTTAAATTAAACAAATATTAAATGTAAATTAAATGTGAAAGAGCCATAACTTTGAGCAACATTACTGTACACATGTTGTACTCAAATGTGCTGTACAGTCATCCCTTGGTTATCACGCCTAATTGGGACCCCGCCAAGTGCATGATAACGAAAAACGCGATAACGAAAGTACAGAACCTATGGAATTTATTCTAATTGGTTCCAGGCACCCAAAACCCAACCCCAAGTTTCCCATTTTACGACCATTTAGACCCAATATATATATATATATATATACAGTATATATATATATATATATATATATATATATATATATATATATATATATATATATATATATATATATATATATATATATATATATATATATATATATATATATATATATATATATATATATATATATATATATATATATATATATATATATATATATATATATATATATATATATATATATATATATATATATATGTATACCCGTGTATAGCACGAGTTCTTAAGACCAAATTTTTGGGCAAAAAGTTGGGGGTCGACCTCTATACGGGTAATAGTTTCGTTAGGTTGAAAAATATTTACCAGTAACTACCAGTAAACAATGGAAACGATGCACCAACGCACCACCCGCTGTGAGTGTCGGTACAGTTGCCAGGGCAGATCTCTTGCGTCATCATAGCAAGCCCAAAGTAGCCAAATGCATGGTATGGTATGCACAGGAGTATGTAAAACATAAAGTATTCATTTTTAAAAGTTTATTTATAGATACATAAATTTTTGTTAATTAAATTTGAAACATCAATATGATGAGTCAGGTCATCTACACACAGTTGCCAGTTTCAAAATTTTCCTTTTAAAATTTTAAGTTACCGAGTATTTCTTTTCCCAAATCGTTTTACAATACTGTAGGTAAAACAGTATACTATTGTGCAAACCCCACAGAAAAAAAATTAACAAATGGAGACACCAAAAATGTAAAAAAAAAAAATGCTGTCTGACTTGCAACACTGTTGGTAGGGTCAGGTGGTTCTAACGGTACCTGCCAGGACCCGGTAATCAAATTTATAACAATATCTAACCTCAATTACTGTAGTTTATCTGATGTAGGCAATATGAAGTAAAAAATACCAGTTAAAGTGAGAAATTGGAAAAGAATAAACAAGAAAGATGTTGGGCTATTTTTGGTAGGGCTGAGGGAGAGAGTACCAGCTGTTTGGTCTTTTTTGGCGGGAGAGTCACGCAAATATCCGTACTAGTATTTGTTTGGTGTCTTCTGTATTTTTAAAAATGAATACTTCTAAATTAAAAGTACCGTAACATTGTATTATATAAAAACTTGTCATATTTCTGGAAAATAAGAAGCAAGAAAATAAGAATACACCGGTAAACACAATTTCAACGTACGCTAAAATTAAAAGCTGCTTAAGAAGGGCCGATGCAAACACAAAGCCTCCACGACCAGGGCTCTGCCGTATCAGCTAGACGGTACACGTGTTTTTCGAATCTTTTTCAGTTAAAAAACTTTTACATCACAAGTGAATTAGGATAGAATATTATTGTAATATAACAGTTTTTAACTGAAAACCATTCAAAAGGCGATTACGGTAACATCTTGTGAACGAAAGAAAGCGAGTCATTGTTTTTGTCACAATTTTATCCCACTTTCCACTATAATACGTACGTCATTTCAGCAAAAATATTACATTTCCATATTCTCAGAAATAAATAGTAGTTTTGCTGAAACGTGATGTATTTCAATGTAAATTAGGATAAACTACATGAAAACAAAAGACTTTACCTAACCTTCCGATGTTCAAGATATGTTACTCGTATTTTTAATAGTTTTCGGTTAAAATACTGTTATATTAGTGATATTCTATTCATACTGTGGTTGATATAATACCTTCACGGAAATGTAATAATTTTTGCTGAAATTACGTCCGTATTACAGTGGAAAGTGGGATAAAATTGTGATGAAAACAATGACTTTCGCTTTGTTTCGTTCAAAAGATGTTACCGTAATCACTTTTCGAATGGTTTAGTTAAAAACTGTTGTATTGTATTACAATAATATCCTAATTGACTTGAATAAATATTACGATACCATATTTCTGAATATTTTCATTAAAATCCATCAAAATCATTTTCCTTGTCATCGTCTGCAGCACCAAACAGCTTCTCCCAGTCCTCTCCTTGAACAGGGCTAGAGGGAACGTGTTTTTCGAATCGTTTTCAGTTAAAAAAACTATTACATCACACGTATATTTTACCTAAACTGTGCCTGAATGAATATATTCTCGGAAATAAATAGTAGTTTTGCTGAAACGTGATGTATTTCAATGTAAAATAGGATAAAATACATGGCGAAAACAAAAGACTTCACCTAAGCTT